GGATGACTCAAGTCGTTGAACCAAGCATCAGAAGGATAGAGTATCCACTTAATTTACCAAGATGGGTAAATTTGGGAAAGGAGCACGTGGAGAGGGACAAGATCAGGAGTATAATTTGGAACACATTGAGGTTCAGACGTCCTTTAGATAACTAAGGAGATATGTTGAACAGGAGCTTGATCCTGGCATTTGGAGCTCAGGAAAGGCATCATCAGCTACTAGGTAGGTTCTGAGAGCCCTATGATTCTGTGAAACTAATGGAGATAGAAAAGAGCCAGGGGCCACTCGGACATTAAATGTCTGTGAAAAGAGGAACTGGGTAAGTTGCAAAGACTGAGGAGGCCGGAAAAGGTAAGGTAAACCACAGACAAGTGCTGTCCTGGAGGACAAGTGAAGAAGGATTTCAGAGAGGGGAGTAATCAGCTCCATCCAATCAAGTAAGATTAGGACAGAGAACGAGCACTGAAGGTCACTTTGATAAGGCTATTTAGACAGTGATGAGGCCAAAAATTTCAGTGGAGTGGGCTCAGCTGAAGGCAGAAGAACTGAAGACAGGGGAATGGACAACTGTCTCAAAAAATTTTGCTAAGAGGGGAAACACAGACATAGTGAGGAAATAGGGTCACGTAAGTTGTGTGTGTGTGTGTGTTTTAACCAATGGTGGAATAATACAGTAGGGAGGGAGCCTGGGGAAGAGTGCTGAGTCTGTGTCCAGAAGAGGCAGGAGGGGTGGGATCTGGCACACAAGTGTAAGGTCATAGCAGTGTGGACAGTCCCTCTGTTGCAGCGGAGAGAAGGTGCAATTCCTCTGCTATTTCCAAGTAAACTAGGTTTCTGGTAATTCAGACTTGCCTCAATTTAGCTTTTTATTCAGGTTGACACTAGTAATGTCACTTTGGTCAGGTTATTTAGTATCTCTAGGTTACAGTTATCTAATTTATAAAATGAGAATAACAATACTACCCATTTTAGAGAATGCTGGGAGGATTACATGAGTTAAGAATAAATATTTTCATCTAAATATCGAAAAGTGCTTAAGGAGTAACTAGCACATAGTAAGCAATCTAAAATAGGTAACTTTTTTTTTTAAGATTTTATTTATTTATTTGACAGAGAGAGATCACAAGTAAACAGAGAGGCAGGCAGAGACAGAGAGAGGGAAGCAGGCTCCCTGCCGAGCAGAGAGCCCGATGTGGGGCTCGATCCCAGGACCCTGAGATCATGACCTGAGCCGAAGGCAGCGGCTTAACCCACTGAGCCATCCAGGCGCCCCTAAAATAGGTAACTTTTACCCTTTACCAACAGATATTTTTAATGGAGCAATAAAAAGTGAGGGGAGTTGAAATGTTCCAGAACCTATTCTTTCAAAAAAAAATTACTTAGGGGTGTTTGGCTGGCCTGGTTGAGAGAGCACACAATTGTAGATCTCGGGGTCATGAATTCGGGCCCCCTGTTGGCTGCAGAGATTACTTAAATAGACTTAAAAAAAAAAAGGAAAATAACATTCTATAAAAAAAAAGAAACATCTCCACTTTAAAAAAATTACTTAAATGTCTGAGCTTTTCCCTCATTTGTCATAGTGGGTATCACCTGAACTATGAATGGTATTGATGTGAAAATCAAGTATCATATATTAAATATGTTTTGAGAAGTAAGTACTAATATTATGATGATTGATACATTACAATTAAAATTTCATCGGGGTAAATAAGTACTTAAAACCAATTTAGAAAAATTTCAGTTGCTGTGAATTTAATTTTGGCTCAAAGTTTCTTTGAAATTCAGTTTATTATAACATTTTTGGGGAAAACTCTAACAACATCCATATATCTAATTATAATGGAATTAAAATTTCACAGCTTTTGTAACCTTCATGAACACATAATGATATTGGGAAAAAAAGGACTGGATAGCATCTGGCAGCTGACTTCCCATTCAAGGATGTGTTGTGTTATACAGATACTTTATGTTTTTCAATCTTCACTAGTTCTTGGGGGCAAAGTCTGTAAATAAGGAAGCGTCTGCAGGAGTTTACTGGGCTCCAGGTGTCATCCCCCATCACACCGAGTCCTCTCAAAAGACAGAAAATCAAAGCTTTCTGATATGCTGGAGCCCTTAAGGCAGCTTTGCGTTTCCCTTCTTGCAAAGCAGTTTAATTTCCCAACAATGATAAAATAAGATTATCACAGATCAATGTTATGTGAATCCTCAATTTGAAGTCAACCTGGGTTATCTGTAATTCTAGAAGGACTAAAGTGGGCCTAAGACACATGTATCTTCCCATCACCCTGGGTCTACTTCCTGCTTTGTGGGCAATTATGAAGTTGAAAATTTGGAAAATGTTAAAATGTATCTTAACTGCAGAGATTATTCCTCAAGAATAGTTTGAGTAATATCCTTCACATACTCCCATCTATTTTTATTTTCCTCCAATTGTTTCTAAAACCTGTAATAGTTTGGTAAGAAAGTAATTCACAGGAAAATGGAGGCCTGATAAGCAGTGACGCAGCAGACAGCTCCCTCTGTGGCCGGCCTTTTACATTTTTCCTTTTTGTAACTCCGTAATACCTGAGTCAGAAATGTCTAATCCTCTGCTTCATGGAAAGATCCTTGAAGACAGAAAGGTCACACTGCTGGCTAGTGATCATTCAGTTCTAGAACCGATTTACCTGATACCCAATTTGCAAGGCTCTCTGGTTTCCTTTATGTATCAGTAGGCTTTGAAAAAGTTAGATCCAAAGTATTAAGCAATATTTCAATACTGGCTTGCTTTATTATGAAAGTCTTAAACCATGAGAGCCCCCACATAAAAAAGCACCTGGTACCAATGTTTGCTTCCTGGTCGTTCAGCTTGAACTCTAACCAACCAGAGAGAAAACTGGCCTAAAAACCATTCATGCTCACAAGATAAATAACTCATACCCGAATTCTTGGGGAGATCAGGCCCAGTGTGTATATCCTATTTCCCTCCTGGGACTGTATCCTGAATCGGCATATTTACATAGACACATCAACAATTTAGTTAAGTCTAACTTCTCTGTCAAGTTCACTTTTAAGTAGTAAGTACAATATTTAATACAAGCTTAATAATAATATTTAATACAAGTATTAAATTTAGATGCATCTTTAAGCTTTTAATAGAGACAGTGGAAGTGATAGAACAACAGAAAATTGTGTCATAGGGAGCAATTACCACAGCTTCCTGTATAGGTCTTCTGAGAAACAGGGAAGGGAATATGTGGGCAATGGCGCCCCCATATACCTGAGGGGCTATGGCACGTGTTGCATGGGCCATGGACAGCAAAACCCCTACTGGAGTGAGTACATATGTGACCCAGGAGCCTTCTTTCATCCTTCTTGAATGTTCACAGTATGGAAAGCAGACATGGAAGAAGTGATTCTGAACACTGAGGAATACACAGTGGCCTAGCCTGCCACACTGTGAATTTGTTAAATTTGGAACTAGGCTGTCTGGTAAACTGAGGTTAACCTGGCTATAGGTCGTCCTGGGTGATCTAGACTTTCAGTGTAGTTTGGTTCTGAATTCCTAAGTATTGTGGATTGGCTAAATGTGAGTTCTAGGTATCCCCTTTGTGGTTGACCTAAGATTTTCTCTAGAATTGGTCTTCCAGTCATTCTATCAGCTAGGTGGGTTTTGCACTTGAGGAAGGTATTAGAAGTACAGTGTTTATTAGAATTAAAATTCACCAACCAAGAGTAGTTATCTATTACTAAATTTCTGGTATACCTTCAGAAAAAGTTTAAAGTTTAAATTAGGCCAAACAGTTAAAGGTACCAGAATAATAAGCTGATTGTCTGTATTTCTACGAAACACTAAAAATTATAATAATAAAATCCCTATTATAAATCTTAGACTATCACGCATACATTGAAGACACTATCTTTCAGAGTCAGAAAACTCATTTCATAATTATAATAGAGTTAAAATTCTGGTTTGGTCTCACAAAGGATAATTTTTATTGTGTTTAAATAATTTTGTTATTGGGGCACCTGGGTTGCTCAGTTGGGGTTAAGTGTCTGACTCCTGATTTCAGTTCAGGTCATGATCTCAATGGTCATGGAATCACCCCTGCATTTGGCTCTATGCTCAGCATGGAGTCTGCTTGAAATTCTCTCTCTCTCCCTCTTCCTCTGCCCCTCCCTCCACTCTCTCTCTCTCTCTTTCCCTTGCTCTCAAATAAATAAATAAAAAAAAAATAATTTTATATTATTAAAATGCTTTCAAGGACTTCACTGGACTGAAATAAAAATATTCTTACATGTTGATTCAGAATTAACAGTTATTTTTACACTTTCCTTTTTTGACCAGAAATACGATTTTTGAGACTATACCTATTTCCCTCAAGATGCCCGTGTGCTTCTTTGGTACACACTAAATACCATGTAAGTAAAAGTCTTGTGGAATCACATAGTGTAAGAAAAATAGGACACAGCAGGATAAAATGTGACCTCAGGACATTAGACATTTTCAGCTCTGAAACTCGTTCAGGGAGAAAACAGCAGCAGTAGTCCTTCTGCCCGCTGCTGACTCCCCTGTGCATCCTCGAGACCATGAGTTTAGCCTGTAATACCATCGGCCCGGAAAGGGAATAGATTGCCTTAGGGGGTAACTGATTTTAAGATTTGAGACAGGAAAAAAATCAAAACGTGTCTGGAGCATGCTGTTGTTTTCAGATACTATGGACACTTTTAGAAATGTCAGAGTCCTGAAAGGACATTGACATCGATATAATGGGACTTCCTAGTGATCAAGTTGTGAGACTCCAAGCATCAGCAAGTCACAAGCACAGCAAGGCAGTCATAACAAAAAAGTAGACTGTGATGCAAGTTTAAATTTTTTAGTAAGTAAAGGAGTGTTCATATTTTATTTTTTTAAAGGTTTTATTTATTTGAGAGAAAGAGAGAGAGAGAGCACACGAGTAGGGGGAGGGGCAGAGGGAGAGAGAGAAGCAGATGCCCCCCTGAGCAGGGTACCAATGCGGAACTCGGTCCCAGAACCCCGGGATCAAGATCCGAACCAAGGGCAACCGCTTAACAGACTGAGCCACCCAGGCGCCCCACACTGAGTATTTTATTCCTTCTAATAATTTTGTCTGTTTACAGTATTTACATATATAGTTATTTCCAACCATGTAAGCATCAAAGAAAAAATACACAGAACTAGGAAGCTGGCCAAAGGATCCTGATAGAAGGTACTAAAATAAAAAACAGGGTGGGTTTATTAGCATAAATAATAGGATATCAGGTGAGCACAAGTAATAACCAGGTAGCAGGTGGCACAGGTGATCATATGCAATAATTAAGGAAGAGAGACAATTGAACACCATATTTTAAAACATGAATTATTCAATGTCCTGAAGAGATAAGCTAACTACACAAACTAAATCCCTCATTACCAAGAAATGAAAGCTCTAGAATCAAGATGCCCAACAGGGAATGCAGCCATTTTCAATAATGAAAACAGAACAGATCGAAATGCCCGACTGACAAGCCAACAGGTTAGGCACTACGAGCCATGCACAGCTTAATGCATCATAGCTGCAACCCACAGCAAGTTTCAAAGATGAACACTTATAAGAAGAGGAATTAATAGTTTACACCCCCCAACACACACACACACATGCACGAGACACAGCTCTGCAGGGTGACTCACGACTGAATCACCCCAGTCCACTACACATTCAGGCCAGACAGTGTATAGACCAAGGTTCACCTGGTCAGTAACCCAGATCCTCTCTTTTTCGCTCATTTCTGGTCAGACTACTGAAATGCAGGCAAGTACTGAGACACTGGGAATAGATCACGTTAAGAATCATATTACACTAGGAAGTTATTAAGTACAGAAATACTAAGAAATTACCCAAACCATGGTCTTAATGTTTTAGAATAGGTTGAAGTGAATGTGCAATAATACATTTTATAATCACTGCTTAGAGATGTCTTTTACCAGCTATTTTAGGTGTTATTTCAAATGATTCAACCATACTAAATTTGTGCTCACAATTTAACATTTTTCAGAAAATTTAATTAGTCAATTTTGCAATTAACATGTAAATACTCAAGAAAATTTGGGGTTCCTTACTTTTTTGGTATGAATTTAATGAAGCAATCTTTAAACGAAGTATATACAGTTTTGGGTATTTTTCACATCTAAATGTGCCTCAGACAATGAAAGCCTCCATTAATTATTATTTTAAAAATTCATAATTCAGAAGAGAAAGTCTATAACTATCAAACCCTAAAAGCCCCTGCTAGAATCCAAAGGGAGAAGTGATTTTAAAAGGACTTAAGAAAGACAAAGCTTGAGGGCTCTATTTTTACCAGTCATCATTTGCTTGGTTTTGAAGGACAAATGAATCGTAACTTAGTAGGAATCACATTTCCCTGCTAACCACTTGGGCAGATGCCATGACATGTGATTGAGATTACTGAACATTCTCCTTCTAACTACAGGATTTAGGTTGTGCTGAGGGTAGGCCCCTCAATGAAACAAAGAATCTGAAGCACAAAATGTTAGCTTGAGAAAACAGGGAAAACTCAAAAGGTAAGTACTTCACAAAGCTACAGTTTGACCAGCTGCCAGATCTTTAGGAATACCATGGAATTGTAAGGATGCCTCTCAAAGAAGGAAAAAGCATTAGTCCCATCTAATCTGACACATGAGAAAAGACACAGAAATAATATTACAAAAATCACATGGTTTTGGTAAATCCTAATAAATATTCACCACACTTTGCCTATCTTGGGTGAAGAATAAATTACGAAACAAAAAAAACAGAAAAGAGTTCATCTAACCTGTTAGCTTCCTGAGGGCTACCTTCCTGGCATTTGTTTCTGAGTGAATGTGAGAAACAATTTTAGGAAGATCCAAGTCCCAATTAAAGGAAAAAAAAAAAAGAGAGAGAGAGAGAGAGAACAAAACCAACAAAAAAACCAAATCAAAACAAACAGAAACATCTTTGGGAATACAAGTATTGCATCTGCAAAGTTAAACACGATGTCAATTAATTCCAGTGCTGGTATCACACTGCCCAACGTTGATTATACAACTTTGCAAGTCATGAAGATAAGCCTGAAATTATAAAACCTGTTGGGGTAGCTGGTATTTGGAATGGTACTCTCGATAGGGCCAATAGTTCTGTACATATATAAACACATGTCCATACCCCGAAGGTGCTGTGTGGAGTTGGGGAGGCTGAAATTTGACCAGAAAGCTTTTCATGATTATGGCTTTCTTCTCATTTCTTCATTCCAATCAAAATCCAGTGCTTCGTCATCTAGTTCCGATAAAGTAAAGAGAGATTTTTTGGAAAGAAACAATCTCTCACTGGACCCCTCCAGCTGAAAAGTTTTCCTTTTCTTGCCAAGCATGGTAGCTGCGGCCCCGGGACGAGGGCTGGTGCCTCTCGCCCCCTCATTCGCACTTTCAGGAGGAGGAGGAGGGGATTCTGACTTGGATTCAGAGGGGGAAGTAAAGGAGAAGTGTGCCAGTTTGGCTAATGTGCAAGCGTGAACCTTGCTGCTTTTAATATTGCATGAGACCTCTTCCTTTCTGTCTCTTTGGCAAGTAGGAGGAGAATGCCCAGTCTGGTTCCCAAGCTCAAATTCAGGCTGGGTAACTCTTGCTTCAGGGCCACGTTTGCTTTTCTCTCTTAGTCTGTCTTCCTCCAGTGCCTGCTGTGACACATCCATTGCCTGATCCTGTTGCTGATCTGAGTTTCTGCTTCCTGACGTAGAGGCCAACTTTTGTGGACTCTTTCCAGGCACAACTGCTTCTCTGCTCACTCTCTGGAGAACTCCAGGACTTGGCACTGCTCCTTTAGTTGTGCCAGGAGACATAGGGCTGTGGTCTTCAGGGGAGTGGGTCAGTTTTGACTTCTGTTTGAAAGTAAATTTCGCCAGTTTGGCCAGTGGGGGACCTGGACTCTCAGCACGTCCAAGCTCAGGCTCTTCCATTTGAGCAAGGGATTTCTGTCTCTTTCTTTTGGGAGTTTCCAGTGCTCCTTTGGGGCCACACAAAGAACTGGACCGAGGATGAGAAGGGCCTACGGGCTGTACAGGCACCATGGTAGGGTTCCTGCACAACTCCTGGGCGCTGGCCTTGCGCAGCTGGTGCAGCTTCCTGGAGACATGATGAGTCAGTACCGAGTCCGGCTCGCCAGCAGACCCTGCTGCCTCTGGAACGACTGCTGCCTTTTTTGCCTCTTTCCCTTCAACGTGGTCTACTACGTGGTCTGGCCTCCATGAAGCTTCTGTCTCTCCTGGTGCTGGAAGCTGTCCAGTTTCCATTTTGCTCCTTTGGCCTGGCTCACCCTTCTCCTTACCCTGAGCTTTGTTCTTGAAGGTCTGCAAAGCCATTTTCCCACCATTTGTTTTGGGAGATACCGGCACAGTATTTTGAGGTTCAAGCTGATGAGTTGCTATGGAGTCAAACCAGTCCAAACTGTCATCTTTGCTATTTTTGTGCTCAGCAGAATGTTTTCTCTTTGCTGGTCTGCTAGGCCCCCCATGGGATAGGGGATCGGAAAGTGGGTTTCCCTCGGGACTGGGTCCAGGAGAGGAGGTCAGCATGCTCCAGTTCACTTCCTGCTGTGCTGACCAGATTCCGGACTTTGCTGCTTCTCCTGGGTCATTTTTTGATGATCCTGGGTTAGTCTCTGCCTCCACTGCCTGTGGCTGGGATCGGTGCATATTCTGATTCTGTAACCTGTAGCAGAGATAAATAAGGAACATGTATTGTAAAGAAGAGAATTTGCACTAACCTTTCCCTTTCTTGAGTCTCTGAGATGCCATGTAAAGGGCTTGAGTCCAACATAATTCCAAGTTCATGCCAAATACAGTCTCTTAGAGCAGCAGGAGGAAATTATCCTTTCTCATCAGTACAGAATTTAAGTGGTTCTGATAATCATTTTAAAAAGTTAAATAAAGGAAATAGAGTAGCAGGTTTGTCTACTTTTTAAGCTCTCTCTACAAGTCTGTCTGAAGGTCAGTATAAAATGCTCATTCTAATCTCTCCTGTTGAATGTTCCACCGCAAGACAAGCTTGTCGCTATCTGTTCAGCAGCCGAGTGCTGAGCAAGTGGTTGTTTTATAGCCGGTTTGCAAATGAGAAACAAGGTGGAAGAGCAGAAATTATGATCTCCTCATGTGTCTCCACCTGAGTACTGAATGTTGGTACACCTGAAAGTTACCTTCCCAGGGAGCAGAGACCATGCTTCCCCTGCACTGTGGCTCACGCTGCCCCAGGGGCATCACATTCATGGCACACAGCCTCCAGGCAGCTGGGACTTCTTTCCTGCAAAACTCAGCCCACACTTCAACATGAGCTCTGGGCAGCTACTCTCTATCAAGCTGACAGAGAGGTGAAACCTACTGACCTCCTGGAATGATCTGATCAGTGACAATCATTTTTAATTGTGGGCATATTAGAAACTGAAATAATGCGAGAGGGCCAATGTGTAACAGACACGGTAGTTTCTAAAAGGAGGTCCTTCAGAAAGCCCTTCCTAACAACTCAGAAATAGCTTCTCAGTGTAAGGGGCAACATGACCCTGCTTCCACGTGTTACATTCGAAAAGGAATTAAACCAAAGAGAGGATGAGTAAATTTTTCTAAAAATCATGTGTAATCATAGAAAAGGCAAAGAAGAAAAGACATTAAATTTAAATGAATTTTAAATTTAAATATATTTAAATACATTAAAATGTTAATGGTAGGCCTCTCTGGGAAATAAGATTATATGCGATTTTTGCTTTCCTAATTTATTACTATTACTTTCCAAAGTACACTATAGAGAACATGTACTCTATGATCAGGAAAAAACCCCCTCAAAATTATTGTAAAAATACTGGGTTATATTCACTTACTGTAGATTTGGACACATCAGCACAGCAAAATCCATATTCGTTGGAGTCATAACCAAACAAAAAAGAAATAGCTTTCAAAATTACTACTATCTAATATACATCAAACTGAGGTCAGGGATATTTGTAATTGTTAAAGCTCCATAAGACTGTTCTAGAAGATAGGGAATTTTAAACGGGTAGAATAGTTAAGCTGTCCCAATTTAGTCTAATTCTGACTTTGGGAATTAAATTCTCCCTGACATAAAATGCCGGCAGTTTTACTCTACCTTCCTAAAACACAGCTTCTTTGCATTCTGTTTTTCAGGTGGTTACAATGGCCACCATTTGAGGATGGCTGTCACTTGCAAGCATTTTCCAGAAGAAAAGTGTAATAAAAATACAAATAGTTGTATTACTCATATATGACCCCCTTAAGGGACAGAGAACTCTTTCCTGCGGGGATAAACCCATCCGCTACTTGGGCTTTTCTCACATGGTAAGATTGGCTTTAGCTGTGTCTTGGAGGCTGTTCACTTACATGTGCTGGGCGCCTGGGTTTATAGCTTTGAGGATCAACGCCCTGAACCTGCATTTCAAAGATGTATATACCAGAAGAAAAGAATATTTTAAGGTGGAATCCTTTTATTTTATTTTATTTTTTCCCCCCCAGATCATTACCTATTCTTTTTTCTTTATCTTTCCCTTCAGGTGGGTCATGTTGAATTTGATAAGTCCAGCTGCGATTTTTCTATCACAGAACACTGATTCTGAGCTTCATAATCCTTTGCTTCCTGAATCCAGCATATGACAGCTTTTGGCGATCTGCATGACCAGTTTCTGGTCAGTCAAAATGAGCAGCCTCTCCAAAAGCCAAGCCGGGCCCAGGGCAGGCTGAAAAGGATCCCCTACATCAAACCATGAAAGAACCAAAGGAATAGCTTTCATCTCAATACCATGCTCTGGATCATTCAAAAGCCAGAAGACCAAAAGAAAAGGGGGTTGAGTTTATGTAAAGGGCAAGATCACTGCAGGCTGGCACTTGGGTATTAGCAACACACAGCCAGTCCCCACACTGCCCCAGGAAGGCTGTGCTGGAGCCTGAGTCTGACACAGAATGCTAATGGATGAAGGCAGTGAGGGAAAGGAGAAAAGCCAGGAAAAGAATTCTCAGGGTTCTACTCATTCCGTCAACAGTCCCACCGCAGTCCCCACATTCTCCTTCAGCATCTGCTCTGCTTCCACACGTCTCCATTCACCAGCCCCCAGATTTGAGGTCAAGGCCAAGTGCCGCCTCAGGGCAGTTACTGAGCCACTTGCACTGACCACGAAGATACCCAAAAGGATATCTCCGTCGCTGCTCACTTGTGTTTCATAGGTACACACTCCAAGTCTAGCTTTTTAGAAGCTCATATACGCCAGGAGCAACCAAACACTAAAGTGGGGGCAAAAATTCTTTAGGTAATGCACGTAACATGTTGCTTCCCACGTATCTACATTTTAACAAATCATTAGAAAGCAGAGTTTTGAAACATTACTTTTGTCACCCTGTGAGATGAGAGACCAATTTTCCTCTTTAACAAAATATATCATTCTCACTGGGGTTTTTTTTTTTTTTTTAGTCTGTTAAATATGTAAAATTTTAAAAGTCATGACTTTGAGCATGTAGGAAAGAAAAATCATGATGCTGAAGGGAAGGTCAGAGCTGTTGCTAATGAACCAGGAGGGCCCTTCCCAGGTGGAAGTCAGTACTAGTTATTTCTACTTCCCTACCTTGCCCCACATGCTAGCTACAGCTGGCCTAAGAGCAGTCTGGGCCTGAGTCTTCTGTGATTTTTCTTTCACCAGGTTTATATAAAGATCAAATACTTACTATGCTTGGAAGAAAGCTCTAAAAACATTAAGAATAAAATTTAAATACTAATAAACACTAAGATTCTTTATGTAAACTCCCTTGTATATGTCCTCTCTTGGCAAGGAAAAATGATAAAGCCAAATTATTAAAATATTTTGTGTCTGGGTCTGGTCTGGGATAGAGCACTTTCCTGGAGTCCAAGTTCTTTCTCAACAGCATTCCTAGCCACCTCTCTGAATAGCACTGCTCTACTTCTAGTGAGCCAAAGAAAAACAGAAGAAGCAGTCGCAATAAACAGAATGAAGCCCACTTAACAAGATTTCTTGATTCCATGGAAACTGTGTGTCTTGAATGTAAACTGTGACTAGCCAACCTTGGTGCTTCTCATGTAATTGGGAACCAGTGGTAAAAATTCAGTAAATTAATATATAGTTTGCTATATATAGTAAAGAACCACTCAGTGTTCTCTATGAGGCTCACCAAACCATCAAGCCAAGGAGATGTAGCTATGGAAGGCTCCAAAGACGGCAGCCGTCAGTTCCCCCATTCTTGTTTGTCTATGTCACTCCCATCAAGAGGTGGTGTCTATTTCCCCCTACCCTGCATGGGGCCTGATCTTGTGACTTGCTCTGACCTTCAAAATGTAACAGAAATGATGTTGTACCACTTCTGGCCCACTCATAAGAGGCCTGGCAGCTTCGATTTTTGCTCTGCTGGAGCCTTAAGCTACTGCCCTCTAGCACAGAGCGAGCGGCCAGCCATCCCTGCTAAGGCACCACACATGTGAGGCAAGCCTTTCTGGATGTTCCAGTCCCACCTGAGCTCCCAGCTAAACACAGGTGTGCTGCCAGCCAACACCATGTGGAGTGGAGAGAAGCATTCTGACTGAGCCCCGATGAATTTCTGACTCAGAAGAGTGAGCACTAAAATGGTGGTGGGGGTGTTTTTTGTTTGTTTTTTAAGCCCCTGAGCTTTCCCATCATTGATTACACAGAAACAGGTAACTGAGCCAATCCCCTTCAGATAGTACAGATAGACTTTCCACTTAATTTCCACTTCTTTCATTTAACTAAATGTCGAACAAAGATCTTCCATTGTAAGTTTTGCTTGGACTTCTTTTCTCACCTTTCAAGTCTTCTTAGCTCTTCACTCAAGAGGTTGTGTAGCTCCAGCTTTTCCAGAATAAGCTCACACTGCCTCTGGTACTGCTTCAGAGGGTTTTCAGGAAAGGCAGTGTGGAGTGCATTCACACCTCCTAGCAGTGCACCTCCCTGAAGGGGTGAGAAAATGGGAAAGAGCAGGGGAGTCACCAGAAAACACCCATTAGAGACCACAGCTCCCAGATCAGCTTTCTCCACCCCCTCTTGGGTATCACAATCACCTGGGGGCCTTTTCCAAATTTCAGTAGTTCTCTGCCCCCATTCCTGGCAGCGAGCGTTGCTCCAGGAAGCACATTGCCTCTAGTGGGACCATGAGCATCCCTCAGATGTGCTGAGGGAAAAAAAGAGAGAGACCCACTACTGTACCCAGTGGGCCAAAGCAATGCTACTGATGCAAAGGGTATTTCCACAAGTTTTTCCCATTCTTTTACATGGTTTCCTTTGGATCTAGTTCCTTTGGATCTATATCCAGAATATGATCATTTTTATAACTTCTGATATGCTCTAAATTGTCTTGTCTTTTTTTACATGATTATAATTAGGGTTCAAATATTAGGTGTAAAATACCCTCACCTGCATTGAAGATTCCATCACTGACACAGCTGTCACGGCGTCTTCCAGAGTCACAGCGTCACGAAACATCAGGCGAGCATGAGCTAAGAAAATCAGGAAGACAGAAATGTTTTTAGAGAGTATTTGAGGTGATATATGCAATACTTTATCTGAGGCACTTAAAAATTATATTTAATGAATGCACTACTAATCACAAATTCATTTTACTAAAACAAGCACAAAGGTCTAATTTCAACTAGCTTTAAAGTTGTTTCTCTAATAATGGGCCTAATCTTGCACAGCCCATGGCAATTCTGGGTATTTATATGAAAAAGTACTCTGGGCTCCAAAAGGAAAGGGGTTCTAGAAGCATATCTCTAATATTCAATAACTTTTAATCCTTATCTTCTTATCTTTTATAGAAATATATAGTATAAAACTTGTTTCTCTTCTCTTCATCTGTGGGTTTTCCAAAACTACCAAACTCACCAGCCTGCATTTGGGGTACTTCTTGTCTTAATATTAGCTATAAATCCTTGACAATGTAAAGTGCATTGGTTTTACAGAACTTTTTATTAAGCATTCTGTCATCATATGATACATCAGTTCATGTGGAATTTTTTTAAGAGTTAATTTAACAAGAGCTATGAATAAAAATCACTGTTAGGAAAAAAGTCTTGAGATGCAGGTTCCTTGTATGAATGCACGAAGTCTCAGGCCTTTGGGATGGGCTAGTTTCTTACGTTAGTGGTGGGGTGTGAATGACAATTAGTGGAGAAAAAAAAACAGAGATGCTACATAGGAAACAACTCTAAATAAGAAAGTGTTCCACCCCAAATGCTAACAGACTGTCACTGAGAAACAAACATTAGTAAATAAGACTTTCTAAATTAATGTCTCTAAGATTCCGCTTTCTTAATGATGCTACATTCTACTCAATACCCATAATCTGTCCCCAGAAGAACGGAAGTTTCATAGCTCAGAGCCTTTACTCTCTAAGTGACTATGAGCACCTTAGGATTCTTCTTATCTTTGAATTCATGGTGCCAAGCTCCATGCCTTGCACATATTGGGCACCCAACAGAAGTATTATTTGTTGAATGAAATAAACCTTCTGCTAATCGGATCAAGCTTTCCAACAGTCGGATGGTGGTCCGGGCAGCATTCCGGGAATCACTCTGCCGCTGCATCTGGTAGTACCGGAGAAGGACCTGATTACCCTCATCAGACAGCGTGGGCTGGAGATTCCGAATCAGGCAGAAGTAGGTCTTCATCTTTTCCATGCTCCAGAGCTTCTCTGATTTGCTTGGGTAACCTGTATGTATCAGGTGCTAGGTCAGTAATTTCTAGGAACAGGTAAACATCTCGCTTTAAGGGTTTTGATAAAATTCTTACACTCATTTTTAAAAAAGATAACCTTTAAGTCTGTGGCCACTAAAACCTAGATCTGACTCTGCATAGCACAGAGTTCAAGAATAAGTAGCCTTAGGATCTAAGCTCAATAAAGGTAAACTTCCTACAGGGGCTAAAATTATCCACAATAATTCTGGCCCATCCTATTGTAATACATAGTATTTGAGTAAATCTAATTAAAGAGAAACTTACATTTAGAGATTTCTGTTTCATAATTCAGTCCACTTTTCTTCGCATGCAAGAGATGAGTGATAATTATATATCATAAGGTTGCCTCCTTTCATCACGAAGAACACATGTACTGACTATAATATCATCGGTAGGCCCTAGTCCTTTTACTCATTATTCTGGGCACACTAAATGGCTCCTCTGACTGCCTTCTGTGCGAGCATTGCTCTAATGCTGCTTAGGTAGGGTACCTTGGGTATTTATTTCATTTTCTTCAAAGAGAATTTCATGTGGTTATGTCTACTTTTTCTTGGTCAACTTGAATGATTCATCTTCACATACCTTTGTTTTCTAAGATAAAGGAAGAAATTATACGATCCCAGTCTTCATTCTTGGTATCGAGCAGAACCAGGATCAGATCAAATCGACTTAAGAGGGGGCTGCCAAGGGCGATGTTCACAGACACGGACTCGTGGGTGTCATACTGGCCTTTGGGGTTAGTTGCTGCCAGGATGGTGGTCCTTGTGTTCAGCTTGCACACGAGGCTATTCAAAGAAAAGGTAAAATTCACTGACTGTTGAGATTCAAATAAAAAGCAAAATTAAACTTGTTAATAAAAAGGGGCTACTCTTGTACCCTGAAAATCTAGAGAGGCTTGTGTGTAAGAGGATGGGGAATGATACAAGGATGTATCACAAACAACAGGGCCGAAGGAAGTACACTTACAGTAGCCTATCCTGAAGAGAAGTTACTACTGATTAAACACTTCTTATGCCCCTCCTATGAGCAGACCCCTCTGCTGGGTGCTAAGAGGTATACAAAACTGACTAAATATGAATACTGCTCTTAAGGAGCTTGCAATCTACAAGCCACAATGGTAAGAGAGGGAAGACTGTGGTAAGTTCTAGAAGGATAAAGTTCCCAGGGGAAGTAAAGATAATGTATACTCCTTTGTGTGGATGGAAGAGATGATTAGAGGAACATTATCAAGTAGCTTCATAACATCTGGACTTGAAGTGGGGGTAGACAGGTGTGTATATATATCCACACACCTACACATAAATATACATGCAGACATACCACACACACATATTTGTAAGAGTGAAGGTGAGGGGCAGGGGTAAGGGGGACTTTGGAGAATGGATAGTGGATGCAGCAAAACTTCCTGTGTGTTCCCTTCTTTTGATTTTTCTAGAAGTGAAAGAAACAAGAGTCAGAAAGAGAGGGAGGGAGAGAAACAAAGGAAGTAAAAGACGGGGAGAGGGGGAAAGGAAATCAGGAAAAATAAGGATTGATTAGCATCATGCCTTTCGTTTGTTCTGAATATAACTGACACACTAACACAATATTACATTAGTTTCAAGTGCATAAGTTAAGTGATTTGACAAGTTTATACATTATGCTACGTTCACCACAAGTGTAGCTATTATCTGTCCCATTGCATCACTACTACAATATCACTGACGATATTCCTTAAGTTCTGCTTTTTATTCCCATGACTTAACTCAATATAAAACTGAACTAATTCCCTCTTCCTTTTGCCTATTTTGCCCAAACTCCATGCCCCTTCCCTTTGGCAACCATCAGTTTGTTCTTTGTAGTTATAGTTCTGATTCTGTCTTTTTTTTTTTTTTTTGGATTTCATTTATGAGTGGAATCATATATGGTATATGTCTTTCTCAGTCTGAATTATTTCACTCAGCATAATATCCTCTAGGTCCACCCATGTTGTCTCAAATGGCAGATCTCATCCTTTTTAATGGCTGTGTAATATTTGTGTGTGCGTGCATGCATGTGTGTACGTACATACACATCACATTTTCCTTATACATTTGTCTACTGATGGACACTTGGTTTGCTTCCATGTCTTGGCTGTTGTAAATAATGCTTCAATAAACATAAGAGTGCATGTATCTTTTTGAGTTAATGTTTTTGTTTTCCAATAGTGGAATTACTGGACCATATGGTGTTCCTATTTTTAATTTTTTGACGAAACTCCATACTGTCTTCCATGGCTATACCAATTTACACTGCCACCAACAGTACACGAGGGTTCCTTTTTCTCCACATCCTCACTAACATTTGCTGTTTCTTATCTTTTTGATTTTAGCCATTCTAACAGGTGATATCTCATGATAGTTTTGATTTGCATTTCCCTGATGATTAGTGATACTGAGCATCTTTTTATGTGTCTGTTGGCCATCTGTATGTCATCTTTGGAAAAATGTCTATTCAGGTCCAGAAAAATCCTAAACAATCCACCAGAAAAGTACCAGACTAAACAAGTTTAGTAAAATGGTAAGATACAAAATTATTACCAAGAAATTTATAGCTTTTCCATACATTAACAATGAAATTACAGAAAGAGAAATTGAAAAACAACACCATTTACAGCTGCACCAAAAAGAATAAAATATCTGGGAAGAAGCTTAACCAAAGAGGTGAATGACCTATACTCTGAAAACTATAAAACACTGATGAAAGAAACTGAAGGCGACACAAACAAATGGAAAGATTTTCCAGGCTCATGGGTTGGAAGAACAAAAACTGTTAAAATGTCCACACTACCCAAAGTAATCTACAAGTTCAATGTAATCCCTAACAAAATACCAACATTATTTTTCACAGAACAGAATAATAAAAAAAATTGTACGGAATCACAGAAGACCCCAAATAGTCAAAACAATCCTGAGAAAGAACAAAGATGGAGGTATCACAGTTCTAGATCTCAAGATATATTACAAAGCTGTAGTAACCGAACCAATAATGTACTGGCACAAAAACACAGATCTATGGAACAGAACAAAGACTCCAGAAACAAATTCATGATTACGTGGTCAGTTCATCTATGAGAAAGGAGGCAAGAATACACAATGGGGAAAAGACAGTTTTTTCAATAAATGGTTCTGCGAGAACTGGACAGCTACATGTAGAAGACTAAAACTGGACTACTTTCTAATACCATGAACAAAAATGAAATGGATTAAAGACCTAAACATTAAACCTGAAGCCATAAAAATCCTACAGGAGAACATGGGCAGCAATTTCTCTGACATCAACCATAGCAACTCTTTTCTTTTTTTCTTTTCTTTACTTTTTATTCTCTCTCTCCTTCCTCTCTCTGTCCCTCCCTCCCTTCCTTCCTTTCTTTCTCTTTCTTTCAATAGATTTTATTTATCTATCTATTTATTTATTTATTTATTTATTTATTTATTTGAAAGAGAGAGAGAGTGTGTGTGCGTGTGTGTCTGCTTGCACAAGCAGGGAGGAGGGGCAGAGGGGGAGAGAGAGGGACAAGCAGAGTCCACACTGAGCCCCTGAAACGGGGCTCAATCTGAGGACCCTGAGATCATGACCTGAGCTGAAACGGAGTCAGATGCTTAACTGATTGAGCCACCCAGGTGCCCCATATAGCAACATTTTTCTAGATCTGTCTCCTAAGACAAGGGAAATGAAAGCAAAAATAAACTATTGGGAATACATCAAAATAAAAAGCTTCTTCACAGCAAAGAAAACCACAAGGAAACAAAAGACAATTTACTGAATGGGAGAAGATATTTGTAAATGATAAATCCAGAGGGGGTTAATATCCAAAGTATATAAAGAGCTTAACACAACTCAGCACCAGAAAAACCAAACAATCCAATTAAAAAATGGGCAGAAGACCTGAATAGTTATTTTTCCAAAGAAGACATATAGACAGCCAACAGACATAAGAAAAACATCACGTTTCTGAGGAGAAACAGTGAAGGGCAGACTGAGGAGGTCTGGGCACCATGGGCAAGTTAGATGGCCAGGACCCATGGAGGAGATGAGGCAATGGTAGGGGAAGGGGTACACAAGTCCTGAATAGAGCAGGGGCGCCAAGGGTATGGCTATGCCATAACTTAGATACTGTTCTTAAACTTATTAATGATGGCCAAGTCCCCAAAATAACATGGCATCTTCATTAACAATAACAAATGTAGATTCTTTTCTCTCTCTAAATCTGAATGCTCTCCACTCAATGGCCGTTTTTAGTTATAGTAGCATGTCTGCCTCTCAGCAGTCACAGACCAGTGACATCAGCAAACATGTGCTACATTTGTTAATGCCTGATCTATTTCCAGTTGGCTTTAGCGATCAGCCCATGCCCTGAGACTGAAAAAGTATGAGAATCTTTATTTGTGGTAAATGGCACAAGACGACACTCATCAAAGAATGACAAACAAGGCACTAAATCCCCCTTTAAAACCAAATCCCCTTTTAAAAAATTACTGAAAGGGGAAAATTCTGAACAGTCTGCATCTTACAATTTATGTGCCAAAATGGCTTTGTAAAGGCAGTTGTTTAGAACTTGAAATCCAGTGTGCCAAAAAGAATGTAGTAAATTGTTCCTAACTAATCCTGCAAAACACATTTCATCCACTCTGAAGTGAGGCTGTTTGCCTTTATCATAGAAAGGAATATTGCTGGAATACTGGCAATGAGACAAAATACAACAGAAAAGAATTTAAAAAATTATTTTCAATGTGAGGTAAACTTGACTGCTCTTCCTCTCTCTGATCAATGAATAGATTTTAAGCCATTTCCTGTGTGCAGAGGATGGGACTGAGAATTCAGGAAGGTGTACACTGGTCCCTGCCTTCAGTCAGTTTACAACAGAACTGCTGGAGGATGGGGAGGCACCGCACAGTGCCTGCCAAGCAGCGGATGATGGCGTCCCTGTCAGCATTAGCATCAGAAAAACACTTCTGTGGAGGCTCCTGGGTATCAATGAGGTATACTGTCTTAAAGATATCCATGATGTGAGAAGGAAGATGAACAAACACACACAGAAAGAAGGTGGTGAATTATTCCTAATCAGGACAAAATGAAGTAAGCTTAAGGAAGGGGGGTAAGGACAATTTTATGCGAAGGAAAGGGCTGCCTGAAGAGCAGTTCGTGGAAATGGGAGCGATGAAAAACAGAGGAGCGGTCACCTGGAAGAGGGGAAGGTAGTGTCTGTGCCTGGTGGCTGCAGGTCTGTGACACAAACAAACATTACTGCATTAAACACTGGATGGGGCTTTAGGAGATGCAGATACCCATACACAGCCAAATCCAAAGTACTTTGTGTATAGTGGTGGCTCACTGAGTAACTACTGAATGAACTCAGGAATTGGGGTAAGGTGACAGTCGTTTTTCCAACCCGTAGGACCTCTGCCTTCTCTGATAACAATAATGAAGGTAATTACCATATCTGTAATGGCAAGCACTGTGCTAGGCTTTATGTATGAACACTCTCCCTAAGATGTACAATCACCTGAAAGGTAGATAACATATCACTGGCTTGGTAATATGGAAAGTAGAAGTTAAAAGATATTAGTAACTCCCCGACAGGTGATAGCGGCAGAGCTGCCATTCAAACCCCGACCGGCTAGCTCCACAACCAGTGCTCTTTACCTGCAGACTGTCCCCTTGCCCCCTACCCCCCAGTGGCGGACCATCTGAAACAGTTCCTATGGTTGTAGAGAACCCACCTGATGCTTTAGGTAGTCACTGACTTGCCTTACCTTTTTCCTAT